TCTGCTGTGCATTAAGAAAAGATAATACCCAACAGCTTTTAGTCCTCATATTTGATATTTGCTTAGAATATTTAATTTTCTGTCTGCAAAATATTTAAACAGCACAGCTAGAGCAGTTAAAAGCACTTGCTGCTCTTGCAGAGGACATAGCATTCCTCCCCAGAACCTCCATGGCCGCTCACAACCATTTGTTACTTTAGTGCCAGAGGAACTAGTACTTCTGACTTCCCTGGGCTCTTGCGTGCATACAGTGCCCATGCACACAGGTATACACATATAAAACAAAGTGAATAAATAATCAAAAGATCTAGGTAGCTTCTCAATTGGACCAATGACATAGAGTATAGAGTGGGGAGGGGTCATGGAACCCCACCTCTACTTGAGGAGTTTTGACAGTTGATGGACACTGGGGTAAGGAGAATCAGTTTTCTTTGGGGAAGTGGCCCCTCTTGGGTGGGTTTTCCATATTCCAGGTGATGGCCCTACTCCCATGCATACAAGACTAGCACAGATTGGACATGATGGTAGAAAGGGACCATGGGGGAGGCAAGACTAGGAAGAATTAGAAGGAGGATTAATATAATCAAAATATATTGTTTGCATGTGTGAAACTCTGAAAGAAGGAATTTATAAAAGAAAAATAAATGCTGCTAGGAAGTTTCTGCTTTCATTTATGTGTAGTCATTGTACAAAATGATAGGTTATTTTCACCTCCATGGCCTTTTGATTCCACCTGGCTGTTTATTTTACTCTTCCCAAATAATTCTCATTCTGCTTTCATGTCTTTTAAAAGTTATTTATTTGAGCCGGGCATTGGTGGCACACACCTTTAATCCCAGCACTCTGGAGGCAGAGGCAGGCGGATCTCTGTGCGTTCGAGGCCAGCCTGGTCTCCAGAGAAATTGCCACGATAGGTTCCAAAGCTACACAGAGAAACCCTGTCTCGAAAAACCAAAAAAATATTATTTATTCATATTTTTTAGATCTGGACTCAGCATGAGAAAATCATGCAAATTTGTATCCTATTTTACCTAACATGATAATGTTCAGTTCTAGCCATTTTCAGGCAAATTCTGTAATTTTCCCTTCATTATAACTGAATATTATTCTGTCTTGTCTGTGTGCAGCTTTCTCTTCTATATTCACTCGTCCATGCACAGCTAGGATGATTCCATATCTTGTAATTTTTTTTACATTTGTTTTTGTTTTATGTATGTAGGTATTTTGCCTACATGTATGTGTGTGTGTGTGCTGTAAATGCTGTAAATACAGTGCCCATGAAGGCCATATGAAGACATTGGATACCCCTGGAATTCAAGTTACAAACAGATGTGTACCACAATATGGGTGCTGGGAATCAAACCCAGATCCACTGAAAGACCAGCCTTGTTCATAACTACTGAGCTATCTTTTTTAACTCACAAAATTCAGACTCTTTAAAAACAACAGCAGCAATGACAACAGGTTCTCACTGTGTTTCCCTGGCTGTCCTGGAACTCCATCAGCCTGCCCTTGAACTCACAGAGATCTGCCTGCCTCTGTCTCCAAAGTTCTGGGATTAAAGTCATGTGGCATCATGTACAGCTCCATATCTTGCCTATTATAAACATTGCCACAATAAAATGAATTTGCAAGTATCTTTAGGCCATTCCAACTTAAATTCCTTTGGGCATATTCTCGGGAGTGGAATAGCTGGATTATGTGATCATTCTGCTTTGTCCTTTGGAGGCCAATGCTGATTCGCACAGTTGCTTGGTTCACTTACAGTCCCTCAACACACCACAAGCTTTTGTTATTTGTTTTATAACTATAGGCACTATAACTAGGGATAGAAGGAAAACTATGAAGTTTTGATTCACATCTCTTTGCTGGATAAGTGTGCTGAACATTTTTTTTTCATGTACTTATGGAATGTTTATATTTCTGGGAACTATCTATTAAATCCTTTTGTTCATTCATTTATTGGATTATTTGTGAGGCTTCCTTGTGTTATGGTTTGAGTTATTTATATGCTTTTTCACTGTCTGATGAATAGCTGCCCATAATTTCTTCCCTCTGAAGTGTAACACAAATAATAAAAACCCAGAGGCAGATATTGGAGTTCAAGCTGAAGATCAGAAAAGCAAAGCAGCCAAGCCACCAGAGAGCTCCACCTCTACAAGTCTGGGGAGATCCTGTCTTGAACATGGCTGGAGACTAATTGCCACAATCCAAGACCCTGCTCCTGTTTTATATACCTCTCTGGTGCTGGGATTTAAGGTGTGAGCTCTGCTTCTCTTTTAGACTGAGTCACTCTCATGTAGCCCTGGGTGGCCATGAACTCACAGAGATCTACCTTTTGTCTCCTGAGTCCTGGGATTAAAGGCGTGTGCCACCACTGCCTGGCTTCTATGGCTGTGGCTACCTTTGCATTCTGATCCCCAGTCAAGTTTTATTAAAACACAAACAAATGTGTCACCACATTGAAGGAAACTCCTTGTTGGTCAGAAGTTTTTATTTTATGAAATCCAACAAAAATTTCCAATATATGGGAAATTTATATATATATATATATAAATATATATATCAGGGCTTTTGCTTACATGTAGTCTGTGATCACATGTGTGCAAGTGCCTGATCTCCTGGTACTGGAGTTACAGAAAGTTGTGAGGCACCATGTGTGTACTGGGAATTGAACCTGGGTCCTCTGGAAGATCTGGAAGTACTCTTACCAACTGAGTCATCTCTTTAGGCCATAATCCTAGTTTTTAATACTTACTATTATTTATTGGGCTATTGGAACCCCTTTCATAAATTTCTTATCTATGTTTATATCTTGAAGAAGTAGTAAACATAAAATAAATATCTGTGACTCAATACAATATTTTAACAAGGGAGTAGCATGCATATAGCACTAATGAAATTTAGCTCCCAGATGACCTCAGAATTTTTACTGGTCCAGTAAAATTATAGAGTCAAATGTTTGAAAATTTTGTATTTCTCTGAAAACTACCTTTTTTTCTTTGTGTGTTTTTGCCTACCTAATGGTATAGCTATAGTGAAAGAGATGTCAAATCATCTCTACCAGATGTATAGCCAAATGCCTCAGTCAGAAAAACAAAGACTGTCTCTTGTGTGTGCGTGTGAGTGTTGTG